GTACAGGATGAGGTGTTACAGGGGGTACAGGAGGAGGTGTTACAGTGAGGTACAGGAGGAGGTGTTACAGTGAGGTACAGGAGGAGGTGTTACAGGGGAGGTACAGGAGGAGGTGTTACAGTGAGGTACAGGAGGAGGTGTTACAGTGAGGTACAGGAGGAGGTGTTACAGTGGGGGTACAGGAGGAGGTGTTACAGTGAGGCAGGAGGAGGTGTTACAGTGGGGTACAGGAGGAGGTGTTACAGTGGAGGCACAGGAGGAGGTGTTACAGTGAGGTACAGGAGGAGGTGTTACAGTGAGGACACAGGAGGAGGCTACAGTGAGGTACAGGAGGATGTGTCAGTGAGGCGTCATGATGAGGTGTTACGCGGTACAGGATGATGCGCCGGGTGCAGGAGGAGGTCATTACAGTGGGGTACAGGAGATGTGCTACGTGAGGTACAGGCGAGGAGGCGCAGCGAGTACAGGAGATGATGCGTTAAGTGAGGTACAGGAGGAGGTGCAGTGAGGTACAGGATGATGCGATGCTGCGATGAGGTACACAGAGGAGGCATATGATGAGGTGTCACAGGGAGGCGTCATGAGATGGCTGGCAGTGAGGAACTGCGAGGAGGTGTCACAGTGAGGTACAGGCGAGGATGCGTCAGTGAGGTACAGGCGAGGAGGTGTTACAGTGATGCACTGCGAGGAGGTGCATTAAGCAAGCGCAGCGAGGAGGTGTTACAGTGGGGCACAGGAGGAGGCATTACAGTGGGGGCGCAGGAGGAGGTATTACAGTGGGGTACAGGAGGAGTGCTACAGTGGGGCACAGGAGGAGGTATTACAGGGGTCACAGGAGGAGGTGCATTACAGGGGCCATGGAGGAGGCATTACAGTGGGGTGCTATGAGAGGTATTACAGTGGGGTACAGGAGGAGTGCTACAGCAGGCACAGGAGGAGGTGTTACAGTGAGGGTACAGGAGGAGGTATTTACAGTGAGGCAAGTGAGTACAGAGGAGGTGTTACAGAGGGTACAGGAGGAGGCCATGGGGGTACAGGAGGAGGTGTTACAGTGAGGTAAGGGAGGAGGTTACAGTGGGTACAGGAGGAGGTGTTACAGTGAGGGTACAGAGGATAATACAGTGAGGTACAGGAGGAGGTGTTACAGTGGGTACAGGAGGAGGTATTACAGTGGGTACAGGAGGAGGTGTTACAGTGGGCAGGAGAGGTATTACAGTGAGGCACAGGAGGAGTGACATGAGGTACAGGAGGAGGTGTTACAGTGAGTACAGGAGGTATTACAGCACAGGAGGAGGTATTACAGTGAGGGTACAGGAGGTGATTACAGTGAGGCATGGAGGAGGTGTTACAGTGGGGTACAGGAGGAGGTGCAGGGGTACAGGAGGAGGTTGCAGTGGGGTACAGGAGGAGGTATTACAGTGAGGTACAGGAGAAGGTATTACAGTGAGGGTACAGGAGGAGGTGTTGTAATGAGGGTACAGAGAGTGTTACAGTGGGGGCCAGGAGGAGGTATTACAGTGAGGGTACAGGAGGAGGTATTACAGTGAGGGTACAGGAGGAGGTATACAGTGAGGGTACAGGAGGAGGTATTACAGTGGGGTACAGGAGGAAGTATTACAGTGGGGTACAGGAGGAGGTATTACAGTGGGGGTACAGGAGGAGGTATTACAGTGGGGTACAGGAGGAGGTATTACAGTGAGGTACAGGAGGAGGTGTTACAGTGGGGTACAGGAGGTGTTACAGGTGGTGTTACAGTGAGGACAGAGCCATCGGTTATACCCAGATATGATGAGTCGTGTACAGGGATGGGAGAGAGGGGATGGATGGAAAGGGTAGTGTGAGGAATGGATGGATGGATGGAGGAGTGTGTGGAATGGATGGATGGATGAAAGCGCGAATGGATGAATGGATGGGTAAGGTGAGATGTGTGGGATGGATAGATGGATGGATGCATGGGTAAGGTGAGATGTGTGGGATGGATAGATGGATGGATGCATGGGTAAGGTGAGATGTGTGGGATGGATAGATGGATGGATGGATGGAAGATGAGATATGTATATGTGGGATGGAGACAGATGGGAAAAAAAAGACATGAATGTTAATACTAAAATGGAAGGAAAAGAAGAGAAGGAACATTAGTGATATGTGGAATAGATGACCTGGGAGATGGGATAGGATAGGTGACGGAGGAGGATAGGTTAGGTTAGGCAGGAGGTCAATAGGGATGAGCAAAGGTTCTGGCAATCGTAGGGGGTACAAGTTCAGACGAGTGATTTAAAAGAATAGGAACTAGCTTAGAAATTGTTGTATAAATAGGTATAAACAAAATACGATCAGAGGGAATGGTTATAAATGGATAAAAGGCTTAGGAATATGATATCGACGAGAAGTAGGTGAACATTTGAACTCTCAAAGGCCTGAACTATAAGAGGTTTGAATAGCCAACTGTATTCCGCCAAAAAAACAAGAGACGATCGTTTATAAATGGGTTCTGTTCAACGAGAGAGAAAAAAAAAATTAAATAAATCCATTAGGAACAATAACAACAAGGGTGTGGAAATATGAATGAAAACAAAAGCAATGAAAGATAGTTGAGGATAAGGAAACACCAGGAAAGAGAAGAGAGAAAATTGTATTGATGATTTTGGAGAGACATAAATGAGAGTTTGCTAAGAAAGAGGAGCAGTTCACGGGGTGGTCTGGTCTACAGCAGAGGAAGACAGCGTCCGGTGTGTTATTTAGTCCACTGAGATAATGGGTGTACACGCTACAAGAGTGGAAGGGGAGAGTAAGTGAGTACTGGTTAAGGGAATATCGGAGGGTAGATAGGGGGAATAAATGATACCAAGCAAACAGTAGAAAAGTGTTTTGGTGGGGGGAAGAGGACGAGTAGTGGGGGGGTGGGAGGGAGGGAAGGGGGGGTGTTGTTTGTTTTTTTTTTAAGTTGTGGTGGAGGGATGTGGAGGGAGGGGCTGGAGGGCTGTAGAGAGGCGGAGGGAGGGAGGGTGGGAAGGGGCTTGGAGTACAAGAGGCCATCTTAGTATTGAAACTAGAAAGGGTAGTAATCTATGGAGCAAACTTCCACACATGATTAAAACTATTCTGTAATATTATTTAAAGCACTTAGTCAAAATCACAAGCATTGTGACGCGGGCCATCCTGCCTACTAAAGCGAGACAGGGCGGGCCGGAGAAGTGGTATATGTACTGATATTGTGGCATTGTAAAAAACTGCTCTCAAGGCAATCAGTGACGAGAGTCCATATCAACGGCGAAGTTCACAAGTGCAGTGGTGAGGAGTCCTGTAGCCCCGGCGGCCTGCTGCAGGCTGGAGTGCCGGAGCGGTGTGATGTGATCCTGATGACCTGCTGCAGGCTGGAGTTCCGGGATGGGATGGTATAGCTCCGGTGGCCTGCTGCAGGCTTGGTTGCGGGGGCAGAGTGGTGTGGCCCCGGCGGCCTGCTGGTACCCGTGTGCCCGCCGGGGCCGCTGCCAGGCCGACATACCTTCTTCACCTGTAGGGGGACCCCACCTCCCTGGGGAGGGGACCTCACTTCCCTGGGGGAGGGGAGGGGGAGGGGGACCTCACTGCTCCTGGGGAGGACCTTCTCTCTGGGGAGGGGACCCCTGGGAGGGGACCTCACTTCCCCTGGGGAGGGGGGGGAGGGACCTCAGGACCTCCCTTCTCCTGGGGGAGGGACCTCACTTCTCCTGGGAGGGACCTCACTTCTCCTGGGGGAGGGACCTCCACTTCTCCTGGGGAGGGACCTCCCACTTCTCCTGGGGGAGGAGACCTCACTTCTCCTGGGGGGAGGGACCTCACTCCCTGGGGGAGGGACCTCACTTCTCTCCTGGGGGGACCTCCACTTCTCCTGGGGGGGGAGGGGAGGGTCTCACTCACTCTCTCCCCACTTCTCCTGGGGAGGGGGGACCTCCACTCTCCTGGGGAGGGGACCTCCTTCTCCTGGGGAGGGGACCTCACTTCTCCTGGGGAGGGGGGACCTCACCTCCTGGGACCTCTCCTGGGGGAGGGGACCTCCCCTGGGGAGGGGGACCCACTCTCCTGGGGAGGGGACCTCACTTCTCCTGGGGAGTGGGGAGGGACCTCCAGGGACCTCACTTCTCCTGGGGGAGGGGACCTCACCTCTCCTGGGGGAGGGGGACCTCACTTCTCCTGGGGAGTCACTTGCTCCTGGGGGCACCCTCACTTCTCCTGGGGAGGGGACCCCACTCTCCTGGGGGAGGAGACCTCACTTCTCCCGGGAGGGGACCCCACTTCTCCTGGGGAGGGAGACTCATTTCCTGGGGGAGGGGACCTCATTCTGGGGGAGGACCACCTGGGAGGGGAAACCTCACTCTCTCCTGGGGGACTTCTCCTGGGAGTGGGGGGACCCCACTTCCTGGGGAGGGAGACCTCACTTCTCCTGGGGAGGGGGACTGATTCTGGGGAGAGGAACCTCTCTCTGGGGAGGAACCCCTCCCAGAGGGGGAACCCCACCTCCTGGGAGGGACCTCACTTCCTGGGAGGGGGACCTCATTCTGGGGAGTGGGGGGACCTCCTGGGGGGAGTGGGGGGACTGGGGGAGGGGGGACCATTTCCTGGGAGGGGGAGGACCTCATTCTGGGGGAGGGGTGGGACCCTTCTCCCGGGGGAGGGACCTCCAGCACTTCTCCTGGGGAGGGACCTCATTCTCCTGGGGGAGGACCTCCTACTCCTGGGAGGTGGGACCCCACCCTCCTGGGGAGTGGGGACCTGGGGGAGGGGACCTCACCCTCCTGGGAGGGGGGACCTCACTCAGAAGGGACCCCATTCTGGGGGAGTGGGGACCAGGGGACCCTTCTGGGGAAGGGACCCTCCCGGGGGGAGGAGGACCTGTTCACCAGCCGGGGAGGAGGATCTCCTCATCCAATTGCTGGATGAAGGACCTCTCTACCTGTGGGGGGGAGGACTCCTCATCTATCTATAGAGAGGCCTCTCTGAGAGAGGTGGGGGAGCGGGGACTTCCTCACCTGGGGGCACTCAACTGCCCCAAGTACTGCGTCAGGACGACTTTATCATCGTCTCCACATTAGGCATGTCGATGATGTCTTTGAGCCTCTTATATCATTAATGCAACACAAGCAGTTAGTGTCAGATCCAGTCTAGAAACAGAGACAAAAGAGAGCACCCAATGAAAAGCCTCAAACACTCTGCTTGATAGCAACATTGCAGGTTGCAAGTATCGTTGAGAATTGTTCTGCTGCTGCACTAGTTGACAGGTGGTGGTGTGTGAGGCAGGCACAGACGTGTGCTTGATCCCATGGTGAGGGTGGGCGTGGTGCGGACCTCCCTTTAGGGGGGTTTAAGGGGACGACACCCCTTCACCACCAGTCGTCTACCCGAAGCTGTCGAGACTTGCCATGGAGCCGCGACGGGTGAGTGTCGGCAGCGAGACGAGGGAGGAAGTGCCAAACAGCTTGTACCAGCCGATGACGATGTTGGAGAGGTCAAGGTCATCGAGCATGATCTGAGCTAGACCCATGAACACCTTGCGGCCCTCCATCCTGCCGTAGTCGCCCCACACCGTCACCTGTAACGTTAACACCATCAGTCTCACCCTACAGGACCGAGGCAAACAACAACTGATAACCAATTTCTCCCCTAATATACAGTTTAATCTTCCTTAAATCTTATGAATCTTACAGAAGGGAGATAAAACAGTCACTCATAGATCGTTTAAGTTTACAAATCCTCAAACAATATAAATAACTCAACATGTCAACAATGAGTAACTCAAATCAGTGTTCTATTGTCGAATCTACACATCTGATCTGAATTTTACCCTAAGAGTTAGTTAAATTCACTATATAAATATTACTCTTCAGACATAATCCTTTATGGCCACTGAAACACAAACAAACATCCAGTAAAATTATTTCACATCAAACTTTGTAAATATTTGCCAAGACGCTAAATAACAGCCCCAGACTGCTCCAGGAGACACACACATTTCCCCTAAGTTAAAATACCTAAGAACATCTAAGATTTACCTAAAGTTAAGACACCTAATTTATATATCCCATCACACTGACGATACTAGATTATGTTGTAGTGAAGATAGGTTAAGGTCACTACACATACAACATCTTAAGGTCAACTAACTGATGAAATTAATTGTTTTGTTGATCACATGCAAGACCGGGATGATGATGACATAATTCACAGACACCTACTGATAACTGTCACGAGAACGAGAAAAAAAGCGAGGAAGAATTCAAGAAAGAGACCCAGGAAGAGAGCGAGGAGGAAAGCGAGGAAGAAAGCGAGGAAGAGACTCAGGCAGAGAGCAAGGCAGAGAGCAAGGAAGAGAGCAAGAAAGAGACCCAGGAAGAAAGTGAGGAAGAAAGCGAAGAAGAAAGCGAGGAAGAGACCCAGGCAAAGAGAAAGGAAGAGAGCAAGAAAGAGACCCAGGCAGAGAGCAAGGAAGAGAACAAGGAAGGAATAAGAGTACCCACCTGCAGAACACACCCCTGATATCTCTCGTGGAAGATCAGTTGTTGTTGATAAAGTGGATCCAGTGTCCGACGGGCTGTAGCGGTCTTGGCTTTGGCTACACATTTCTTACCCGCTACCAAGTACACCTTCACGTACGGAGCTGTGGGAGGTACGTGGAGTTAGAAACTGATGGAAAGACCTTTGTGAGGACTATTATTTACACTCTGAGGCTTTTAGTGAGCATTAATGGTGTCGTGTTGGTGGTAATAGTGACGGAGGAAGATATGGGTTTTAGTGTTAATCATGATGTTGGTAGTGTTGGTAGTGGTGATGGTGGTAGTAGTGGTGATGGTGGTAGTAGTGGTGATGGTGGTGGTAGTGGTGATGGTGGTGGTAGTGGTGATGGTGGTGGTGGTGGTGGTGGTGAGTGGGTGATGGGTGGTGGTGGGTGATGGTGGTGGGTGATGGTGGTGGTGGGTGATGGTGGTGGTGGGTGATGGTGGTGGTGGGTGATGGTGGTGGTGGGTGATGGGGTGGTGGTGGTGGGTGATGGTGGTGGTGGGTGATGGTGGTGGTGGTGATGGTGGTGGTGGGTGGTGGTGGTGGTGGTGGCAGTGGTGGTGGTGGTGGTGGTGGTGATGGTGGTGAGGTGGGTGGAGTGAGGTGAGGTGGTGGTGGTGGTGGTGAGTGGGTGGTGGTGGTGGTGGGTGGTGGTGGTGGGTGGTGGTGGTGTGGTGGTGGTGGTGGGTGGTGGTGGTGGGTGGTGGTGGTGGTGGGTGGTGGTGGTGGTGGTGTGGTGGTGGTTGGTTGGTTGGTGAGTTGGGGTGGTGGTGGGTGGTGGTGGGTGGTTGGTTGGTGTGGTTGGTGGTGGGTTGGTTGGTGGTGGTGTGGTTGGGGTTGGTGGGTGATGGTGGTAGTGGGTGATGGTGGTAGTGGTGATGGTGGTAGTGCAATAGTTGAAGAGGTACTTGATGCAGCTGACGGTGCGGGGGAAGGGTCTGCTAACACAACTACTGACGAAGGAGGCGCTGAAGTAGTGTGGGGAGGAACAAGAGACAGATTACTGTTGTTGTGGAGGTAGAGTAAACACCAGGTAAGACTCTCAGTACTCACCAGGTAAGACTCTCAGTACTCACCAGGTAAGACTCTCAGTACTCACCAGGTAAGACTCTCAGTACTCACCAGGTAAGACTCTCAGTACTCACCAGGTAAGACTCTCAGTACTCACCAGGTAACAGTCTCAGTACTCACCAGTTAAGACAGTACTCACCAGGTAAGACTCTAGAACCCGTCTTGCACTGGAGGCCCCTCGCTCGTATCACTTCCACCTCAAGTTTGTTCTTCCGTTCACACATGGAGAGTTGGATGTCCCCGAGAGCTGGAGCCGCCAACACCTGCCGCCCCACCAGCTGCCCAGGACCGAGGCCCTCAATGAACTCGCTCAGCTGCCCATCAGTACCCAGACGCAAGGATGGCACGCGGCTGTAGGCCCAGAGGTCAGGTCAGAAGGGGGTCAAGGTCACCATTATCTCAAGAGGGTTAATAACAACTTGTTTTATCTCCATTATATAAACACCTAAACATAAACCTTTAAGAGGGTTAAACCTTCAAGAGTGTTATAAAACAGTGTGTGGTTTATGAGTTTTATAGATATATATATTTTTTTTTATTATATCAAAGCGTTAAGTGCTAATACCGGCAAGGAAATGATCTTAAACTAGAGGCTGAATTGGAGGAGGGAGGAGGGGTACCAGGCCCTAGTACTACCAGGTAAAATTGAAGTGTGAGCTTGTACTAGGTGAATCTGATTAGCGATGCGCTACACTGACACATACTGGTGAGAAGCTATAGCTGTGAAAGAGGGGCAGGGGGCAGGGGGGGGGACTATAGCAAGCTGGAATCTGAGGACACACACACATACACCCCAAGAGGAATACACAGACAACAACAACACGGTGGGTGGTGGTCAGGGTTGTATGACTATAAGCCTCTAGAAAGCGTTTGTTTATTTTTTATTTTTTTCACATGCGGAGAGACACGAAAGATCTTACGTAAAGGTTGTGGGTGTGTGGGGGATAGAGAGGCGAGTATCATGGAAGCCATATAGAACGGATCACTACTTGACTAACTGACTACAGTACTACTATCATAAAACACTGCCACCTACAGACACTACTCGACAAAAGGGGTGCAAATCAGCATCATCCTCATTAAAGGGCTCGAACCGATATATTCTTCTACAGGTGGTGAATTTCCCTCCATAAGAGCCAGAATTACTTAGTTTCTCCTCCTGAACCCCGAGAGATAGAGACTCGTGAACCCGAAGCAGTAGACGAATCCATTATTCTGTACCATTAATACTTCGGATTCACGATTCTGAATCTTAGGGGTTCGTTGTTCAGGAGAAGCTAATGGACTGTATTAATTAACTGTACATTACACTTACAAAACAATAACAAACAAGTCTTTATTACTTTAAGACTACACAGTAAAACAAACAAACAATACATAAATAAAACAGCTTTACACTCCCACAGGACAGGTGTCGAGCCCTTCAAACAAACAAACAAACAAAATATGTTGAAACGAGACCAGAAATAAAATACTTGACAAATTCCTATAATTTCATATAATCTCATAACTAATGAAGGAGGAAGACCGTGAGTGTTAATATGGCTGTGCCCACTACTATAATTATCTAGATACTAAATATACTTCTACTCGGAGACTATAATCATCTAGGGTATGCGATCTGTTGAGTATGATTGAATAGAAACAAAAAAAAGTTCATTCTTTAAACAAAAAGAAATTTAAAGAAACTAATGAGGTATAACTACTGTTGACCAGAAGAGAACTAATTATACAGGAACAAAAATAGTTAAGTGTGTTTATATTAACTGTGTCAAGGTCAATGGCACCCTGACATGACCAGTGTTGGTAGTTGTGGTCAATAACTGCTTGGTCAATAATGGTTGGGGTCAATATTTTATCATCTGGGTCGATATTATGTCATCTGGGTCAATATTTTATCATCTGGGTCGATATTATGTCATCTGGGTCAATATGTTATCATCTGGGTCGATATTACGTCACCTGGGTCAATATTTTATCATCTGGGTCGATATTACGTCACCTGGGTCAATATTTTATCATCTGGGTCGATATTACGTTATTTTGGTCAAGATTATTATTGTTGTGGTCAATACTGAGGTCATTGGTCAAGGTGTTGTAGATATGAGTGACTAGTATGAGGGGGGGTAGTGTGAGGGGGGTAGTGTGAGGGGGTAGTGAGAGGGGTAGTGTGAGGGGTGGTGTGAGAGGGGGGGTGTGGGGGGTGTGGAGGGTGGTGTGTGTGAGAGGGGGGTGTGGAGGGGGTGTGGGTGTGAGGGGGGGTGTGGTGGTGTGTGTGGTGGTGTGGTGGGGTGTGTGTGTGTGAGGTGGTGGTGGTGTGGGGGGGGGGTGTGGTGTGGTGGGGGGGGTGTGGTGTGGGGTGTGGGGTGGTGTGGGGGGGTGGTGTGTGGGGGGTGGTGTGGGTGGTGTGTGTGGGGTGGTGGGGGGTGTGTGAGGAGGGGAGTGTGTGTGGTGTGGGGTGTGTGGGGGGTGGGTGGGGTGGTGTGGGGGTGGTGGGGGTGGTGTGGTGGGGGTGGTGTGGGGGTGGTGTGGTGTGGGGGGGTGTGGGGGGTGAGGGGGGTGGTGGTGTGGGGGTGTGTGTGTGTGGTAGAGGGGGTGTGTGAGAGGGGGGGTAGTGTGTGGTGGGGGTGGTGTGTGTGAGGGGGTGGGGGGGGTAGTGTGAGGGGGTAGTAGTGTGAGAGGGGGTAGTGTGAGGGGAGTTGTGTGAAGGGGGTAGTGATCATGTCTGGGCTGGAGGTAGTGTGAGGGGCGTAGTGATCATGTCAGGGCTGGAGGTAGAGGCAGCCCCCATCAGTTGTCCTGCTCTGCACGGCCACTCACCCTCAGGCCAACTTAACACAAAACATTTTCAATAACGGGAGAGAAAAATAAAGTAAGCAAAAGATATAAAGGTTTTATTTTAATTTTATATTAAAGCTGGATGATAATTCAAGAGGGGGAATAAAGTGAGGCCAAGACCTTTATTTTGACTACTGGTGTGAGTGGATGAGGTGGTGGTGGTGGTAGTGGTGGTAGCCAAGACCTTCCACCACAGCACTAGGGGGAGAGCAAGACAGCAGGAATCTGTCTCGAAGCCTCGTACAGGAGTCGCGGGTCAGAAGATACTTACGAGGAGCCCTCAGAACTGATGCTATTCATGCTACCGTCCGTGGACTCCTTAGATGGTTGTTTAACCAAGCGAGCCTGGTTAGGTGCGGGTATCACCTCCTGAGATCGCTGCACCCCACTAGTACTACGCTTTCTACCGCCCTCTGCGGAGGAGGCAAAACGTGATACTGTCAACACTACAGCGCTGGCCGACACTACTAACAAAAAGGCCGCCTAGGATCTCTGGACGAGGGCACTGGTCCACTCGTGCCCCTGACCCAGGCATAGAGGCTGCGAGGGCGTGGAGTAGCAAGGCAAAATCTAGACAAAACTTCTAGCTAGTTTACAAAATGTCAAAATTCTCTGGTTTTAAATCTCCAGACAGGTGAAGAATCATCACTGTCCTGGGCCTAGAATAAAAATATTTATCATTCCCACAAGTCAGGTCAAATCTTTAGGAAGAAAACTTCAATGGAATGCAATCATGCTCGTCTAAGACTACCTTCCAGCGTTTTGCAAGTCTGTATAACTACGTAATTCGCTCTGCATAGTCACTCAGTGTGTACGTAGACGACTCTACTAACTTATGTACTGTACGGTACTGTACTATACGATACTGTGCGGTACGGTACGGTACGGTACTGTACTGTACGGTACTGCACTGTACTGTACTGTACTCCTATTCTTGAGATACTCTACTCTGCAAGCCAAATGTTTCAAGCTGTACGTCTAAAGCACCCGAGCAAAGATTCACCAAGCTGTTAGTCGCACCTCACCAAGACAGCCACGTGAACAACGATAACGATAAAATAATGTTCAGTAATCCAAGATAAAGTTGGTTATAGAGAAACAGCCGAATCTTTGCTGGAGTGGTAAGCACCGTGCATCCTCACTTGAGAGCTATATCACAAGGCCAGCGGAGACAGTTAAGGGTTTAAGACACTTATTATCCAAAAAAGAGGGAGGAAAAATGTAAACGATGAGAGGAAGGGGTAGTTAGGGTGAGTGAGAGGACTGTAGAAGGGAGCTATGGTTGGCCAGCCACTATGCTGCACTAAGGGCTGCTGGAGCTGGCGCCCCCCGGCAGGAGGGTGGCCAGAGATGACCTGCCCCACACCTGTCATCCCCGTCAGCTTCCTCGCTACTCTGGCTGGAGCTCTGCCTCATCAGGTGCCGCGACCCCGTAGGAAGGACCTCCTCGCTCCGGTGAACCGTTATTTGACTTCTAGACTTTTTCCGAAAGCCTAATTTCCGTTTTCGACCTGAAGACAGTATGGGTTGAGGAGTGACGAGGGGGTGGTAGACCAGAGGGGAGAGAAGTACACCAACCACAAAGGGAACAATACAGTGGTAACAACAAACGGCTGCATCAAACACATTGTATCACCACAAGAACAACTACACACCCATACTCCACTTGTGTTGGGAGGAAGAGGAGGAGGAGAAGAGGAGCTTGATAGAATCTAACGCGTCAGAGATGTGGATCACTGTGGAATCCATTTAATCAATTTTTTTCCATTTGCAAGTAACACCACGGAAGACTTTATAGCGAGTATTACCTTTGAGTATGTTTAAGTATCACTCGAGGAAGGACGAGAGCCAGAACATATACAACAGTAGCTGGTCAGATTCTATCATGTGTGCAGAATTATGAGGGTGTGTTCAGTTGACTGTGAGGAGACAACTAGCGCCTGACTCGCCCTTTGTCTCATCACAGGTAATAAAACTCTTCATTTATCATTAAGGGAAGAGGGGAGACCCATAATCTAAAGGTCTATAATGGACGGTATGTATAATTATGTACATTGACCGTATCAAGGATTATTTCCTTATCAATTATATTACTCAAAAATAGAGGGGCAGATCAGATCACCATTCATCTCATTAAAAATAAATAAAAATAAATTAAACTGGCCTTAATAAAATAAATTTACCTATACTTAAAACTGTTCATAGATATATTGTAGTTTATACTATATACACAACAGGCAGTTTATTAACAAAAAATATATATAATAAGTTATAGACATCTTACATTATAACAAAAGATAAATGTCAGGGTCAATAATACCTTAATTTTCCCATTAGTATTGCAGCCTTATCTCCTCCATAATTAAGACATCACACAAGTCAAAAATATTATATATATATATTGTATGGATCTACACACAGAGAGAGGAGCACTGTTGATGTGTTACCAAATGCTGCTTGATGGAGCCCACCATAACGACCTGCCATCATCACTGCTGCTTGGTTACTAACACACTGTAAGTTAAACCTTATACACACATACAAAAATCATTATTCCTTAAGCTTTAAAAAAGAGTAGCATTATTTTATATCTAACAGTAAGCTTAAAAAGAATAAGCTTAATGTAGTAAGCTTAAAGTAATATTCTAAGCTTAAAGTAATGTTCGAAGTTTAAAGTATTGTTCTAAGCTTTAAGTTATATTTTAAGCTTAAAGTATTGTTCTAAGCTTAAAGTATTGTTCTAAGCTTTAAGTAATGTTCTAAGCTTAAAGAATTGACGACTATATAACCAGGAAATAAACTGGTTTTAACTAAGCAACCTGGAAAATAACGGCGACATTCGCTGTGTAGAGTTATTGAGCAACTGAGAGTGAACTGAATTAACGAACATGCATAAGAGACTCTCTCTCTCTCTCTCTCTCTCTCTCTCTCTCTCTCTCTCTCTCTCTCTCTCTCTCTCTCTCTCTCCTCTCTCTTCCAATCTCCCTCTCTTCAATCTCCCTCTCTCTCAATCACCCTCTCTCTTCAATCACCCTCTCTCTTCAATCTCCCTCTCTCTTCAATCACCCTCCCACTTACGCAATACACTCTACATCTCCCTCTCATCTCCCACTCTACACTCTACATCTCCCTCTCATCTCCCACTCTACACCTCCCTCTCATCTCCCACTCTACACACCCCCCAAGACCCACTAGGAGAGGGAACACACCTAACCTACCAGTATCAGACAGCTTGGAGGTGGAGGAGGACTTTTTAGAGAGCCCTAGTGATTGACCTTGTTTGCCGTTGTTAACTCGTCTCCTCTCTTTCCCCTCCACCGAAAGCATACCAGTAGCCGAATCACTCAAGCTGCCATCTGTCGACACAAAGATATTAGTTTTTACACGATACCACCTGTCACACTTAATGAGCCATGTGTGACAGATGGTGTGTGTGTGTGTGTGTGTGTGTGTGTGTGTGTGTGTGTATTATGTTTACAATTCTCTGTATATAAATATGTATAAATCATATTGTTTTATGTGTATGTATACAGAGTTATCCAAAAACAATACCCAGATTATAAATGGTAATGTATTAAAACCTGGGCATTCTTTTTCCATCACCCTGTATATAATATTAAGGTAACAAGTTAATAAAAAATTACTTGTTTTTTTTTTTAATTAAGTCAGATGAGACAGACAAGGTGTTTAACCATTAACACAAACAAGTTAATCTTTTAAATGATGTAGAAGATTCTTGCAGTGTTGTGCTCATGCAGATATAACCCCAGGATTAAGCGAGTCTGATCAATATTAGTGTAACTTGATCAATATTAGTGTAACTTGATCAATATTAGTGTAACTTGATCAATATTAGTGTAACGATCAATATTAGTGTAACTTGATCAATATTTGTAAAATTTTATCAATATTAGTACAAATTGTATAAATATTAGTACAATTTTGATCAATATTAGTGAATTTTGACTACTATTCGTGAAAAGTTGATCAACATTAATTGAAATTTGATCAATATTTGTGAAATTGTGATCAATATCAATTATTTTTCATCAATATTGGTTGATTTGGATCAATATAAGTGAAATTTTATCAATATTAGCGAAATGTGATCAATATTAGTTAAATTTGATCAATATTAGTGACATTTGATCAATATTAGTGGATTTTGATCAATATAAGTGAAATTTTATCAATATTAGTGAATTTGTATCAATATTTGAGATTTGATCATCTGTCAAAATTTTGCATCTGTTGTGATAATAAAAAATAGTGATCCTGGAAGAGACAGGTGAGAATCGTGTGGAAGGGGAACATACGCAGGTGAGATGCCACAGGTGTACACAGCTCATTAGATACAGGAACTCTTAGATGCAACCTATCACACACACTCTAAGGGTGTGTAGTTCACTCACTCTCTATAAGGCTCAACTGGGCTGGGATAAACAAACAAACTACTGCTTCAACGTATATATACTTTGACTCTACTTAAAACTATAATACTGTAAATACAAGTCAAAGTTTATAGCCTATATATACTTAGTGCGATATTACAGTAAATAGGAATTGTGTATACTTTTCCTATGTATGTATGTATATATGCATACACACGTTCATTACGCTAAATAGGGATTATTATAAAAGAATACGCTTTTAATTTTACGAATGTCCTGTTTTTCTGTATATAAATGAATAGTATTAAAAATAACCTAATCTGACCTACCTAACCAGACCAGACCAGACCAGACCAGACCTGACCTGACCTGACCTGACCTGACCTGACCTAACAAAGGTAAAATCTAGTTATTTTCTGACGGTAAACAACATCTAAAATGAAACAAAATATAAATTAATATACTCTGTATATGAACTATTTTCCTAACCCAACCTAACCTAACCTAACCAATAAAAATCAAGTGTTTCATATTAGCCAAAAACCTAACCTAACCTAACCTAACCTAACCTAACCTGACCTGATATTTATCCCTATTTACCGTGATGGTTTATAGTGTATCTCAGTAACTACCTAATTACTTGTGTTTACATACTGTACATCTATTTTCACCAGATTTTGACACAAGATTTCTCCAATTATCTATTTTCACCAGATTTTGACACAAGATTTCGCCAATTATTCATTTTCACCAGATTTTGACACAAGATTTCTCCAATTACTCATTAAAATTTTCTATAGTTATTTCCCTTTAAAAACTTTCACAGTGAACCGTCAAACAGATGATGATGATTTGGTTTTCTTTGAGGTGTAAAAATTGCCAGTCAAGTGTTCGTGTGGTGAGGGTGTGTGTGGTGAGGGTGTGTGTGGTGAGGTGTGTGTGGTGAGGTGTGTGTGGTGAGGGTGTGTGGTGAGGTGTGTGGTGGTGAGGGTGTGGTGAGGTGTGTGGTGGTGGTGTGTGTGGTGAGGTGTGTGGTGAGGTGTGTGTGGTGGTGTGTGTGGTGAGGGTGTGTGGTGGTGAGGGTGTGTGTGGTGGGGTGTGTGGTGGTGGTGTGTGTGGTGAGGTGTGTGTGGGTGTGTGTGGTGTGTGTGGTGGTGAGGGTGTGTGGTGTGTGTGGTGGTGAGGGTGTGTGGTGGTGAGGGTGTGTGGTGGTGGTGTGTGTGGTGAGGGTGTGTGGTGAGGTGTGTGGTGGTGAGGGTGTGTGTGGTGAGGGTGTGTGTGGCGAGGGTGTGTGGTGAGGTGTGTGTGGTGAGGGTGTGTGGTGGTGTAAGACTTGGGTGAGTCGTACACACACACTAACAACCCATCGTAGAGGTGAGGTGTGAGGGAAAAAACTTACTCTGGTCGTCAAAATATTGTGTTTAGGTTAGGGAGACATCTTGGACGACCTCTCTCTGTCTCTCCAGTTGAAGGTGAGACTCGAGAGCCGTGACACAGAGCTCGAGTATTGCTCAAGCTATGGTGGAGAATGGCAGGCGAGGAGATAAATGGATTGATTGGGTATAAAAAATTATCGTGCTGTTTGAAGAAGAAAAGAGGAGAGCCTTAAAATGTACATAAGAAGCTTCAAGCAATAAATGATTGACGAAATATAAGGTAAACAATTTGGCAGAATGCACAGTGTTGTAGCGTCACCACGTACCTTACTGACTGTCTGTCTCACGGTGAAAATATTTGTTTGTTTATATACGAGTACATAGATAAATGGTGAGTCTAGAGGAAGGATCAAAGAGGTCAAGATAAGGCGGAGATATGGTGGTAGTTTACCCTGCAACACAACACGGTCATCAACACTACTACAAGCAGCGGCAGGGTGGTGGTGGCATCCTCAACACTACAGACGGTGGCTGTGGTGGTGGTAGCGGTGGTGGTGGTAGTGGTGGTAGCGGTGGTAGTGGTGGTGGTGGTAGGGGAGGCAACAACACAAGCGAGAACTGTCTGACTTGGGCTGGTGTGTTGTGGCGCCGCGCCATACAACACAAGCGAGTACTATCAGGCTTGGGCTGGGTGGTCGAGGCGCAGCGCCATTAGCCCCGCTTACCCAGCTTCTCGACGTCGAGGGAGTCCAGGTTGACGGAGCCCCCGGCCGCGGCGGCCTCCGGCGGGGGGGTGGTGGAGCCCTCAGCGCTGCACTCTCCCTCAGGACATTCCTCCTCCACCTCCTCCTCCTCCACCACCTCGCCCTCCTCGCAACCCTCCTTCGCCATCATTTCGCCACCCTCCACTACTCCCTCCACCTCCTCTACCATGCCTTCGTCTTCTTTCCCTTCGCCTTCGTTTATTTCTCCTCCTCCTCCCACACCTTCCTCCTCTGGACGCCATGCGGGTAAGGGGCAGGACGAGGGAAGGAGTGGAGGGGATCCAAGGAAGGGGTTGGGGAGTCGGGAGGAGCAGAGAGCGCACGAGTGAGAACGTGAGTAACACAGCCCGCTAGTCAACACACCAGTACAGGCACAACTAGCTACATCCTCATGCATAATTCAGTATTCCAGTCAGAGAAAAATAATAATCCGTCATTTTAGCAGAGCAGTTGAGAAAAATGAATAATATTGAATGAAAAATTTAGTAATGCAATCGTTGAATAACTAATGCACATATTGTAAGACACTACATAAATTTATAACCAAAAGAATTGAATTGATTATGAACTATTAAAGGGAGGGAAGGGAATGGCATAAAGAAAACGGGAGGTAGTCGTCAGGCAGAGAAAGAGGGGTAACTGAGACGAGAGGGAAGTATCACAAAACATTCAAGGCAGAGACACAGAGGCATGTTAGAAGCTAGAGATGTTGCTGCCCACATCCTGTTATGAGGAACGGGGAGGACAAGTGAACATAGAGGACACTGGGGAAGAGCAGCGGAGGCGGACATGCCAGGCAGGTCAACGTACCAGCTTTTTCCGTCTCGGGGACCTCGCTGGTGGAGAGGCTCCTGCCCAGCTGACCGCGTTTACTTGCCCCGCCGTAGCTGACTCCCGCGGGCCCATAGGCGGTGATCCGTTGGCTAAACTCACTAGCAGGATTAGAAGAAGGGTCTACATCAGCGTCTGCGCGAGGCTCCATACTAGGGGGACTATTGGCGTCAAATTCAAAGTACTCGGGGTGCTCATTAATACTAACTGAGGAACTGTGGCGAACTCGGGGTGTTAAGGGTCTGTCTGTGTCAAGGTTCTCGCCTTCGACTACGTCTGCGTCGGGTAGGTACTGAGGACGGGACTCTGCTACATTGTAGGATAGGTCTGCATAAGTCTCGTGGGTGTTAGAAGGGTGGGCGTGGGTGGTGTTAGAAGGGTGGGCGTAGGTAGTGTTAGTAGGATGGCCATGTGCATGAGCAAGGTCGTGAGGGTGCTGGGGGTGCTGCAGGTGAGAAGCACTGTCACGTCGGTCCTGTGGTCTTGGAGGGTCGTGGTGGGTAAAGTTGGGGACGTAGCCGGATGCCGCGGAGGGATACCTCTTACCACCCCCTCGAGCTTCCTGGTCTCCTCTGTATCTCGGGTCCTCTCCCTCATAGGACTCTACATAAAGGACACCCTCTTGATCATAAATCTTCCGTTCTCTGAGGTCCTTCCTACTGCCTTTAGGATCATAGTACCTCCTGTCATCTACCTGGCCGTTATAACCCTCTGGGAGGAGACCTCTGTGGTAGGCCCTCTCTTCCTCCTCTCTGTACGGCGCGTGTTGGTCCACAAGTCCCTTAACTCTGTACCTCTCCTGGTCCAACGACACTGCGCCTCTGTACCCGTCCTTATCTACAGCAGCCTGATCTCTGTATCTTCTGTAATCTATGTCAGCCTGATCTCTGTATCGCTCATCAGCCACTGTACTTTGTCTTCTGTATCTGTCTTTCTCTATGGCTCCTTGTTCTATGTATCTCTCTTTCTCAATGGCTCCCTGTTCCCTGTACCTCGCGTCGCTGACTCCATCGTGTTGTCTGTACCGTTCTTTCTCCAAGTGGCCCTCCTCTCTGTACCGTTCTTTATCAATGTGGCCCTCGTCTCTGTACCGTTCTTTCTCCAGGTGGCCCTCTTCTCTGTACCGTTCTTTATCAAGGTGGCCTTCCTCTCTGTACCGTTCTTTGTCTAGGTGGCCCTCCTCTCTGTACCGTTCTTTATCAATGTGGCCTTCGTCTCTGTACCGTTCTTTATCAAGGTGGCCCTCTTCTCTGTACCGTTCTTTATCAAGGTGGCCCTCCTCTCTGTACCGTTCTTTATCAATGTGGCCTTCGTCTCTGTACCGTTCTTTATCAAGATGGCCCTCTTCTCTGTACCGTTCTTTATCAAGGTGGCCCTCCTCTCTGTACCGTTCTTTGTCTAGGTGGCCTTCCTCTCTGTACCTCTCCTGGTCTTCCTCTCTGTACCTCTCATGACCTTCCTCTCTGTACCGTTCTTTGTCAAGCGGAACTTCCTCTCTGTACCTCTCCTGGCCTTCCTCTCTGTACCGTTCTTTATCAAGGAGTCGATCGTCTCTGTAGCGATCTCTGGTCACAGGCAGAGGTTCCTGGTATCGATCTCTGTTGATGAAATCGTGTTCTCGATATCTGCCCTCATCTCTAGGGTCTCGCTCTCGAGGTCTTCTCTCATCCCTCGGGCCGTGTTCTCGGTATCTTCCTTCATCACGTGGATCAACTTCACGATATCTTGCCTCGTCTCTTGGGTCTCGTTCTCGATATCTTTCTCCATCTCTCGGGTCTCGTTCTCGATAACCTGCTTCATCAATTGGAATTTGTTCTTGATATTTCGCCTCGTCTCTTGGGTCTCGCTCGAGGTATCTTTCTCCCTCTCTCGGGTCTTGTACTCTGTACCTGTCCTCTTCTCTCGGGTCTCGCTCTACATACCTTTCCTCACTCCTCGGGTCTTGCTCACGGTACCTTCTGCCCTCACCGGCCACCTGCTTCCGTTTTCTTCTGTGGTCCACAGCTGCCGCCTGGTGGTACCTCCGCTCCTCCACCAGGTCCTGTTCTCTACGTCTGCCTTGATCTAGCGAGACAGACCTACTGTACCTACGTTGGTCTTGATACTTCTGCGCCTCCGCCTGCTGCGCTTCATAGTTCTTGTCGTACTCCTGCGGTGGTGCCTCGCCGGAGTAACGTACTCTCTCGTCCACGGGTCTGCTGTGGTCGCGTCTCCGCTGTTCCATGGGAACAGACACATCGTCTGAGCCACACGCCTCTGGTGGAGCGCCTCCGTCAAACACGTGTACGAGGCTAGGGTTATCGTGAAGACCTCTGCTCGGCTCCAGCGGCCTCCTGTCCTCTAGGGGCGCTTCATCAACACTTGTCTCACGAAGAACATTGTACCTTCCCTCCCGTTCTTCCCTGGACGGTTTCCATCTCAAATCTACCTGAGGGACCTTGTTGGGGTCCCGCAGGAGGGCACTTTCAGTGTTTGCTCTTACAAATGTCCTGCGAGGCTGTGTGCCTGCAGTAGGGCGTCGTGCCCTTGGAAGCGTCTGGCTGGATCCTTCCTGCATGGCGTGCAGAGGATTAGCGAGGAACTCGTCCGTCGCGGCTCGACCTTGCTGTGCCAGTGTTCGTTTGTCAACTGCTCGACTGAACTCAGGGTTCAGGTCTCTCTGGTCTACTTGTTCTAAGCTGAATGATCGGTCTAAGGATCGGTCAGGAAGAAACACCTCGGTCTCTGCACCGCTGTAGTCTGAATCATACCCGTAGTAGGTTCCTGCACTATGGCCGTCTGCCAGACGCACGGAGCTTCGTCGACGGTACAGACCCCGGAGGGCCTCAGGCGGGGTCGTCGCCACCTCCGGGTTTTGAGCCTGGCTGTAGCCGTCAGGAGGAGCCCGAGACTTACGTATATAAGAGTCCTGCATGTGTTCCCTTACCACTAAATCTGACTCATAAGGCACTGATTTATCTATTGATAGTGAGCTTCTTGACACAACAGAGGGGTCCTGGACCCTCTGCTTGGACAACACCTCGTCTTCATACGTCACCGTCTTCTTAGGGTGAGACCGCAGCACCAGGTCGTCACGGGTCAGTGACCTCGACCTTCCTCTATGACCCATCTCCCTCAGAGACTGACTCATGTCCCATTGCTCGATCAGGAACTCTGGGTCGTGGTGCATGAGCCACCGCCTGTCGTTCTCGCCGAGGCTGTGGCTCTTCTGAAGGCGGTGTCGCAACGAGCGAGAAGGGCGAGGGGCGGCGCTCACCACAGTGTTGCTACGCATCAAAGCACGCGGCTGCGGCTGCGGGTGCAAGCGCGGACGAACGGCCAGGTGCGGTGCGCTCCTCGACACGCCCGTCGTCACGCCCATAGAGAGGGATCGCTTGAGCACAGGGGGTCGACGCACGGGGCTGAGGGAACGCAAAGAGACATCTAGTAAACTACAAGACGGGTCTCGGTCCTGGCCAGAGTCGTAGTCAAAGTCAGTCAAGAGTTTGGGGTGGTCCAAGGTGACGTCATAGCCGTGACTGTTGCTCTTCAAGCTACTCAGGTGCCGCCTACTGCTCGGGGGAAGGAACGGGTTAGGTTAAGAGAAGAAAAAAGAAAGAAAGGAACACCGAATTAGTTGACCTGATGGGAAGAGGTTGACTTTTTCAATAAGAGTAAGAATATAAACAAGGTACTGCAATGACTGACAGACGTAGAGAAGCTATATATACTGTGTATGTATATATATATATGTATATATATATATATATATATATATATATATATATATATATATAAAACCAAGTAGCAGATTGATAAAACACGCACAACAATAAGGAAAATATTGTATAAAAAATAATTGCCATTTTAACTGTGCTTCTGACAGATGTTTCTTGGGACAGACATGCAGTAGACCCAAGTGAATACATATTTATATTTCCTTAATAAACATATGTATGAAAACCTCTTAATTACTACCCTAACTAAACCTATCCCAGCCACCCTAAAACATATACCATCTGACAGAGTTAAACCAGCCGTACGATCTGCCGTTGGTTTATACCTTAACAAGGCAAACTAAAACCAGGTGACTCAGTGGTGCTGACTCAAACTAAAACAAAATTCTGATGTTAAACCCAGATGGCTATACTGGTTTACTTAACGCACTATTAGGTTTAAATTAAATAGAGAGAGAGAGAGAGAGAGAGAGAGAGAGAGAGAGAGAGAACGAAGAAACCGAAAAAATAGACAAAATATATTCACTAAAAATTATTAACTTGGTCGACGATCCACCTAAAAAAATAAAATAAAAAACTTTAACCGATTCCTAAAAAGAAAAAAAGAAAATAAATATTAAAATTTCCTTAAACTTAAAATGTGTAGATAAATAAAATAGGAATAATTACTATTTAAAAAAAAATTACAATTATTATTTCACTTAAACAAATAGAAGGACAAAACCCTAACAAAAAATAATCTACGGTTAAGAGCCAGAGTTAATCTAAAATATCTGGAGTAATTAGCAAGAGATCACACCTGTAAATTATAATTACCAAAAAATTCCTACAACTTTGAAAATCTCGAAATTGTCTTTAAATAATATTGATAATGTCTGAGTCAGTGTGCTGGTGTGTGGAGCCTAGAGGTGTGTGGAGCCTACAGGTGTGTGGAGCCTACAGGTGTGTGGAGCCTACAGGTGTGTGGAGCCTACAGGTGTGTGGAACCTACAGGTGTGTGGAGCCTAGAGGTGTGTGGAACCTACAGGTGTGTGTAACCTACAGGTATGTGTATCCTAGAGGTTGTGTGGATCCTAGAGTTGTGTGGAGCCTACAGTGTGTGGAACCTACAGGCGTGTGGAGCCTACAGTGTGTGGAACCTACAGGCGTGTGGAGCCTACGGGTGTGTGGGGAGTGTGAAGCCTACATGGTGTGTGGGAAGCTACAGGTGTACAGGTGGAGCCTGTGTGAGGGTGTGTGGAACCTACAGGTGTGTGGAGCCTCGAGGTGTGTGGATCCTAGAGTTGTGTGGAGCCTACAGTGTGTGGAACCTACAGGCGTGTGGAGCCTACAGTGTGTGGAACCTACAGGCGTGTGGAGCCTACGGGTGTGTGGGGAACATACAACTGTGTGAGGAGCCTACATGTGTGTGTTGGGAAGCTACAGGTGTATATATATATAGCCTCCAGGTATACAGGAGCCTACAGCTGTGTGAGGGAGCTTCCTGGGGGAAATAGGAGCCTATCAGTGAATACAACAATAGCCGTCAGTCAAATAAGGAGCCTATATGAAAGGAAGTAGAACCTACAGGTGTACCAGAAGCCTACTGGAGTCTACTGTAGAGGTGAATGGAGCATAGTATGTGAAGAACAGAGGAGCCTAAAGATAAATAAGGAGCTATATTGGAAGATGAGGGATCCCTCACATACGCGAGGAACCTAAGAAATAAAGAGCCTACAGCTTTGTAAGGAGCCTAGGAGAAGAGAAGGATATTAATGACATGTAAGGATTCTAGGAGGGGGAATGGAGCCTACAAGTGCACGGGGAGCCTAGGGAAGGGAAGAGGAGCCCACAGGTACGTCAAAAGGATATAAGAGGGGGCCTACAGGTGTGAGAGGAGAAAACAAGAAGCCTACAGGTGTGGCAATGAACGAACTGGTGTACAAGTCCTGGAAATACATGGAACCTACACTTGTACAAGTCGGGTATAAGGAACCTACACGCATTTAAGTCGGGTTTTAGGAACATTCACGTGTATAAGTCGGGTATAAGGAACCTACACGTGTACAAGTCAGCTATAAGAAACCTACACGTGTACAAGTCAGGTATAAGAAACCTACACTTGTATAAGTCGGGTATGAGGAACCTACACGTGTAAAAGTCGGGTATAAGAAACCTTGACGTGTACAAGTCGGGTACAAGGAACCTATACATATATAAGGAGGGTAATGGGAGGGTAAAGGAGCCTCACCTGAGCTTCCTGGAGCCTCTGGGCCTCTCGCTCTGTGTGGAGAAGGCACTGGTGACGCTTACCACGCTCTCTATATCACTGGCTGAGTCCGTGAAGTCCCTGTCTTGCTCACGTTCAGGAGATACCAGGCCACCCCGCCCCCTAGTGTACCTGGGGGGTAGTGGGGGGTGTTAGTGCACCTGTACTAGTGTACCTGGGGGTAGTGGGGGGTGTTAGAGTGCACCTGTGACACTGGGGGTGTTAGTGCACCTGGAGTGTTATACCTGGTGTGGGGGGTGTTAGTGCACCTGGAGTGGGGGGGGAGTTAGTGTACCTGGAGTGGTGGGGGGAGTTAGTGTACCTGAGTGGGGGGAGTTAGGTGTACCTGGAGTGGGGGGAGTTAGTGTACCTGGAGTGGGGGGGTGTGTGGAGTGTGCACCTGGGTGGGTTAGGTGTACCTGGAGTGGGGGGTGAGGGTGGGGGTAGGTGTACCTGGAGGGTGGGGGAGTTAGTGTACCTGGGTGGGGGGGAGTAGTGTACCTGGGTGGGGGGGGGAGTTAGTGTACCTGGGTGGTGGGGAGTTAGTGTGGAGGGTGGGGAGTTAGTGTACCTGGAGTGGGGGGAGTTAGTGTACCTGGGAGTGGGGGAGTTAGTGTACCTGGAGTGGGGGGGATTAGTGCCCGAGTGGGGGTTAGTGTACCTGGAGTGGTGGTACTGGGGGGGGAGTTAGTGTACCTGGGTGGGGGGGAGTTAGTGTACTGGGAGTGGGGGGGAGTTAGTATACCTGTCCTATGTGTGTACGTTTTCCCTGTCATATTACGTACACATGAACCAAAGTGTACATGAGTTTCTTGTGTGTCTTTCAACTCTGTGTGTGTGTGTGTGTGTACTGTGTCATGAGGGAGGCTGTACACGACGTATCCACTGGTCATGTGTCAACTGTCATGTGTCAACTGTCATGTGTCAACTGTCATGTGTCAACTGTCAGGTGTCAACTGTCATGTGTCTTGTCCCTTGCATATACGTAGACGTGTCATCTGTGTCATACATGCCACATGACCCTCAGACTGTCATGATACTCACCTGTCATACGCCCGCACATACCCACCCCTTCACCTGTCATACGCCCACACATAACTTCCCTCACTTGTCATACGCCCGCACATACCCACCCCTTCACCTGTCATACGCTTACACATAACTCCCCTCACCTGTCATACGCCCATAAAACTCCTCTCACCCGTCATACGCCCACACAGAACTCCCCTCATCTGTCATACGCCCATACAATTCCTCTCACCTGTCATACACCCACATATACCCACCTCTTCACCTGTCATACACCCACACATAACCCCCATCACCTGTCATACCCAACGCCACCTGTCACTCACCTGTCATAGGTCCGGAGCTCGGAGTCGGAGTACCCGGAATGCAGGTGGCCGCCCCCCGACCCGGGACCTGCCGACCTGTACGCCTGCCGCTGTCGCATTCTGAACTTCATCTGCCTCGTCCGCTCCTCCAGGTCCTGCAGCCAGGTCAATACAGGTCAGTGGAGGGGAAAAACAGGTCAAGACTCTGGTCAGTTATGGTCAGGTCTATATTGGTCAGCACAAATCAGTAGGGTTCAGGTCAGTAGAGGTCAGTTCAAGAGCCAGGTCAGTAGAGGTCAGGTCAAGAGCCAGGTCAGTAGAGGTCAGGTCAAGAGCCAGGTCAGTAGAGGTCAGGTCAGTAGAGGTCAGGTCAAGAGCCAGGTCAGTAGAGGTCAGGTCAGTAGAGGTCAGGTCAAGAGCCAGGTCAGTAGAGGTCAGGTCAGTAGAGGTCAGTAGTCAAGAGCCAGGTCAGTAGGAGGTCAGGTCAAGAGCCAGGGCAGTCAGGTAAGAGCCAGCTGAGGTCAGGTCAAGAGCAGGTATTAGAGTTAGGTCAGTAGAGGTCAGGTCAAGAGCCAGGAGTCAGTAGAGGTCAGGTCCAAGAGCCAGGCAGTCAGTAGAGGTCAGGTCAAGAGCCAGGTCAGTAGAGGTCAGTTCAAGGGAGGCAGGTGGTCAGGTCCAGAGCCAGGTCAGTAGAGGTCAGGTCAGAGCCAGGTCAGTAGAGGTCCAGGTCAAGGGCCAGGTCAGAGTCAGATCAGTAGAGGTCAGGTTAAGAGCCAGGTCAGTAGAGGTCAGGTCAAGAGCCAGGTCAGTAAAGGTCAGGTCTATACTGGTTCAGTAGAGGTCAGGTTCAAGAGTTAATTCATTTGAGGTGAGGTCACAAACCAGGTCGTTAGAGGTCAGGTCAGTAGAGGTTATGTCAGCACAGGTCAATAGAGGTCAGGTCAAGAGCCAGGTCAAAGAAGTGTTCAAAGTTAAATAAAATGTCCAATAATAATAATAATAATAAAAATAATAAATATAATAATATTAATAATAATAATAATAATAATAATAATAATAACAATAATAATAATGGCAATAATAATAGTAAATAATAATAATAATAATAACCTATAATAATAATAATAATAAAAATAATAATAATAATAATAGTCACTGGTGTTAGAATATGACGTCACTGGTCATTGACGTCGAAAAATGATTGGCCATGACGTCACTGATGTTAGATTATGACGTCACTGCTGAAGAAAGAGGGGCTATGACGTCATGAGAAGTAAGAAGAGGAAAATACATACAAATTAAACAAGAGACAAGAACAGTGTTGCCAACGCCAGAGGCAATTGGGGGCAGTAAAGCAGTGTTGCCAACATCCAAAAGCAAAGAAGAAAAATAATATTAACAAAGAAAATTATGGAACAATGTGAGACAGACAACAGACAGAGGGAGGCAGGCAGACAGAGGGAGGCAGACAGACAGACAGACAGAGGGAGACAGGCAGACAGACAGACAGAGGGAGGCAGGCAGACAGACAGACAGAGGAGACAGGCAGACAGAGGGAGGCAGGCAGAACCAGACAGACAGAGGAGACAGGCAGACAGAGGGAGGCAGGCAGACAGACAGACAGACTTATAGAGATGAAGAAAGACAGACAGACAGACAGGTAGACAGACAGACAGACAGACAGACAGATATATTAGACAGGTACTGATAAACATTCACTACCAAGACGATAAAATACAAACATAATTTATATAGTAAATCACAAACAGATATAATGGTGATTTATTTATCCCGTTTATATTGAATAAATCACAAGACCAGGATTACTTAGTTAATCCACGAGACTAGGATTAATTATCTATTTAATCCACGAGACTAGGATTAATTATCTATTTAATCAGCGAGACTAGGATTAATTATCTATTTAATCCACAAGACTAGGATTAACTCTATTAATCCAGACTAAACACCCTAAGCAGCTATCAAAAACACACATTAATGCAACACACATGTATACATATAGAGGTTTATGTATATACAGTGAAACCTTTATTTAACAGACTATGTGGAGAGAAGTCCGTAATATGGAGGCACAAGTCCGTTATATGGAGGTACAAGTCCGTTATATGGAGGTACAAGTCCGTTATATGGAGGTACAAGTCCGTTATATGGAGGTACAAGTCCGTTATATGGAGGCACAAGTCCGTTATATAGAGGTACAAGTCCGTTATATAGAGGCACAAGTCCGTTATATAGAGGCACAAGTCCGTTATATAGAGGTACAAGTCCGTTATATGGAGGTTTCACTATACCAGAGGGGAATATTAATGTTTATATAATTAATATGTATAGATAATAGGGACAAGCGGTAAGGGAAACTACAGGCGTGGTGGATAACGTCTACTGCAGACTGTGCTGAGAGAGAGAGAGAGAGAGAGAGATCTAACATCACAACTAATAACTAAAAAACTAATTATTTCCCGAAGCCATTACAAAACAAGCGCCAGTACAAGCAATGAAGAGCGCCTGGCGTTTAGCTACACATCTACAGAAGGAAAGTCATGGGCAAACTAACGTCGGACGAACCTACGATCGCCTGGCGCTCCTATTGTGGTATGAGTCACGGCACTAAATGACATGAAGATTCGTGCAAGTTATACAGGTGACGTCACCATACACCACCATACATACACCACCATACATACACCACCATACATACACCACCATACATACACCACCATACACTACACCACCATACATACACCACCCCCACACATACACCACCATACATACATCACCATACATACATCACCATACATACACCACCATACATACACCACCACCATACATACACCACCATACATACACCACATACATACACACCACCATACATACCACCATCACATACATCACCATACATCACCACCATACATACACCACCATACATACATCACCATACATACATCACCATACATACACCACCATACATACACCACCATACATACATCACCATACATACATACATCATTGGAGGGACGATGTGGAGGGAGGGTGAGGAGAGTGTGGAGGAGAGAGTGAGGAGAGGGTGTGGAGGAGGGAGGAGGGTGTGGAGGAGGAGTGAGGAGGGGTGTGGAGGGAGGGTGAGGAGGATGTGGAGGGAGGGTGAGGGTGTGGAGGGAGGGTGGGAGATAATGGAGGGAGGGTGGAGGGAGGGGGTGTGGAGGGAGGAGGGTGAGGAAGGAATGTGGAGGGAGGGTGGAGGGAGGGAGGTGTGGAGGGAGGGGTGAGGAGGGTGTGGAGGGAGGGGTGAGGGAGGGGTGTGGAGGGAGGGGTGAGGAGGAGGGTATGGAGGGAGGGTGTGGAGGGAGGGTGTGGAGGGAGGAGGTGTGGAGGGAGGGGTGTGTGGAGGGAGGGGTGTGAGGGAGGTGGAGGGAGGGTGTGGGAGGGAGGGGTGTGGAGGGAGGGGTGTGGAGGGGAGGGGTGGAGGGAGGGTGTGGAGGGAGGGGGTGGAGGGAGAGTGTGGAGGGAGGGGGTGTGGAGGGAGGGGGTGTGGAGGGAGGGAGGGGGTGTGTGGAGGGAGGGGTGGAGGGAGGGTGTGGAGGGAGGGTGTGGAGGAGGGGGTGTGGAGGGAGGGTGTGGAGGGAGGAGGGGTGTGGAGGGAGGGGTGGAGGGAGGTGTGGAGGGAGGGGTGTGGAGGGAGGGGGAGGAGGGTGTGGAGGGAGGGTGTGGAGGGAGGGTGGAGGGAGGGGTGTGGAGGGGAGGGGTGTGGAGGGAGGGGTGTGGAGGGAGGGGGTGTGGAGGGAGGTGTGGAGAGGGAGGGTGGAGGGAGGGTGTGGAGGGAGGGGTGGAGGCTATCCTTGCTATCGATTTTCTACAGTGGAGGCAAAGACGAAGAAACACACACACACACACACACACCACACACACCACACACACACACACACACACACACACACACATACACACACACACACACACACACACACACACACACACACACACACACACACACACACATACACACACACACACACACACACACACACACACACACACACACACACACACACACATTACACACACACACACACACACACACACACACACACACACACACACATACACACACACACACACACACACACACACACACACACACACACACACACATTACACACACACACACACACACACACACACACACACACACACACACACACACACACACACACACATTACACACACACACACACACACACACACACACACACACACACACACACACACACACACACACACACACACACGCATACACACAGACAAATAAATAATGGTTGCCCTCGTGTAAAACGGCCCAAGGGCCTCCCTAGGCGTGAATATGTTTAAAATTAAGCTTCGCCAACACAACACCCACACCCGAGTTAACGAGCTGCAGCCCAGTGTTTAAGGTTGAAGCTGTCGCCAACACAACAACCACACCCTGAGTTAACAGGCTGCATGACCCAGTGTTTAAGGTTAGCCAGAAGCTGTCACTAACACAACAACCACACCCTGAGTTAACGAGCTGCATGACCCAGTGTTTAGGTGTAGAAGCTGTCACCAACACAGCAACCACACCCTGGGTTAACAGGCTGCATGACCCAGTGTTTAGGTGTAGAAGCTGTCATAACAACAACCACACCCTGAGTTAACAGGCTGCATGGCCAGTGTTTAGGTGTAGAAGCTGTCGCCAACACAGCAACCACACCCTGAGTTAACAGGCTGCATGACCCAGTGTTTAAGGTGCTTAGAAGCTGTCGCCAACACAACAGCCACACCCTGGAGTTAGCGAGCTGCATGACCCAGTGTTTAGGTGTAGAAGCTGTCGCCAACACAACAACCACACCCTGGAGTTAAACGAGCTGCATGACCCAGTGTTTAAGGTGTAGAAGCTGTGCCAACACAACAACCACACCCTGAGTTTAGCAGGCTGCATGACCCAGTGTTTAAGGTGTAGAAGCTGTCGCCAACACAACAACCACACCCTGAGTTAGCGAGCTGCATGACCCAGTGTTTAAGGTGCTTAGAAGCTGTCATAACACAACCACACCTGAGTTAGGCTGCATGACCCAGTGTTTAAGGTGTAGAAGCTGTCGCCAACACAACAACCACACCCTGAGTTAGCGAGCTGCATGACCCAGTGTTTAAGGTGTAGAAGCTGTCACTTAACACAACTTAGCACGCCCTGAGTTAACGAGCTGCACTTGACCCAGTGTTTAAGGTGTAGCTGTCGCCAACCCACAACAGCCACGCCCTGAGTTAACGAGCTGCATGACCCAGTGTTTGGGTGTAGAAGCTGTCGCCAACACAACAACCACGCCCTGAGTTAACAGAGCTGCATGACCCGGTGTTTAGGTGTAGAAGCTGTCGCAACACAGCACCCACACCCTGAGTTAACGAGCTGCATGACCCAGTGTTTGGGTGTAGAAGCTGTCGCCAACACAACAACCACGCCCTGAGTTAGCAGGCTGCATGACCCCGGTGTTTAGGTGTAAGCTGTCGCCAACACAACAGCCACGCCCTGAGTTAACGAGTTGCATGACCCGTGTGTTTAAGGTGTAGAAGCTGTCGCCAACACAGCAGCCACGCCCTGAGTTAACAGTTTACATGACGGTGTTTAAGGTGGCGAAGCTGTCGCCAACACAGCAACCACACCCTGAGTTAACAGGTTGCATGACCCAGTGTTTAAGGTCTTTAGAAGCTGTCGCCAACACAACAACCACACCCTGAGTTAGCAGGCTGCATGACCCAGTGTTTTAGGTGGCAAAGCTGTCGCCAACACAGCAACCACACCCTGAGTTAACGAGGCTGCATGACCGGTGTTTGGGTGTAGAAGCTGTCGCCAACACAACACCCACACTGAGTTAACGAGCTGCATGACCCGAGTGTTTAAGGTGTAGAAGCTGTCGCCAACACAACAACCACGCCTGAGTTAACGAGGCTGCATGACCCGGTGTTTAAGGTGTAGAAGCTGTCGCCAACACAACAGCCACGCCCTGAGTTAACAGTTGCATGACGGTGGTTTAAGGTGTAAGCTGTCGCCAACACAACAGCCACGCCCTGAGTTAGCAGTTGCATGACCCGGTGTTTAAGGTGTAGAAGCTGTCACCAACACAACAACCACACCCTGAGTTAACGAGTTGCATGACCCGGTGTTTAAGGTGTAGAAGCTGTCGCCAACACAACAACCACACCCTGAGTTAACGAGCTGCATGACCCAGTGTTTAAGGTGTGGCTGTCGCCAACTAGCAACCACACCCTGAGTTAACGAGCTGCATGACCCGGTGTTTAAAAGGTGTAAAGCTGTCGCCAACACAACAGCCACGCCCTGAGTTAACGAGTTGCACTTGAGGCCGGTGTTTAAGGTGTAAAGCTGTCGCCAACACCACATCCACGCCCTGAGTTAACGAGCTGCATGACCCGGTGTTTAGGTGTAGAAGCTGTCGCTTACAACAACCACACCCTGAGTTAACGAGTTGCATGACCCGGTGTTTAAGGTGTAGAAGCTGTCATAACACAGCAGCACACCCTGAGTTAACGAGCTGCATGACCCAGTGTTTAAGGTGCTTAGAAGCTGTCGCCAGCACCACATCCACGCCTGAGTTAGCGAGCTGCATGACCAGCCAGTGTTTAGGTGTAGAAGCTGTCGCCAACACAACAGCCACACCCTGAGTTAACGACATGACCCAGAGATGTTTAAGGTGTAAGCTGTCGCCAACACCACATCCACGCCCTGAGTTGTAGAGCTGCATGACCCGGTGTTTAAGGTGTAGAAGCTGTCGCCAACACAACAGCCACACACCACAGGTGCCGGCATGACCCAAGAGTGTTTTAAGGTGTAGAAGCTGCTTGTCGCCAACACAACTTAGCAACCTCGCCCTGGGGTTAACGGCTGCATGACCCAGTGTTTAAGGTGTAGAAGCTGTCGCCAACACAACAACCACGCCCTGAGTTAACGGGCTGCATGACCCAGTGTTTAAGGTGTAGAAGCTGTCGCCAACACAACAACCCGCCCTGAGTTGGCACGGAGTTGCATGACCCAGTGTTTAAGGTGTAGAAGCTGTCGCCAACACAACAACCAAGCCCTGAGTTAGCGAGCTGCATGACCCAGTGTTTAAAGGTGTAGAAGCTGTCGCCAACACAACAACCACACCCTGAGTTAACGGGCTGCATGTGACCCAGTGTTTGGGTGTGAAGCTGTCGCCAACACCACATCCACGCCTGAGTTAACGAGCTGCATGACCCGGTGTTTAAAGGTGCTTAGGTCTGTCGCCAACACAACAGCCACACCCTGAGTTAACGAGCTGCATGACCCAGTGTTTAAGGTGTAGAAGCTGTCGCCAACACAACAACCACACACCCTGAGTTGCTGAGTTGCATGACCCGGTGTTTTAAGGTGTAGAAGCATCGCCAACACAACAACCCACCCTGAGTTAACGAGCTGCATGACCAGTGTTTAAGGTGTAAGAAGCTGTCGCCAACACCACATCCGCCCTGAGTTAACGAGCTGCATGACCCAGTGTTTTAGGTGTAGAAGCTGTCGCCAACACAGCAACCACCCTGAGTTAACGAGCTGCATGACCCAGTGTTTAGGGGTGAAGCTGTCGCCAACACAGCAACCACCCTGAGTTAACAGGCTGCATGACCCGGTGTTTAAAGGTGTAGAAGCTGTCGCCAACACAACAACCACACCCTGAGTTAACGAGTTGCATGACCCGGTGTTTAAGGTGTAGAAGCTGTATCGCCAACACCACATCCACGCCCTGAGTTAACGAGCTGCATGACCCGGTGTTTAAGGTGTAGAAGCTGTCGCCAACACAACAACCACACCCTGAGTTAACGAGGATTGCATGACCCGGTGTTTAAGGTGTGAAGCTGTCCTTAACACAACAACCACACCCTGAGTTAACGAGCTGCATGACCCAGTGTTTAAGGTGTGGCTGTCGCCAACACCATCACGCCCTGAGTTTAACGAGCTGCATGACCCAGTGTTTAAGGTGTAGAAGCTGTCGCCAGCACAACAGCCACACCCTGAGTTAACTTGAAGCTGCATGACCCAGTGTTTAAGGTGTAGAAAGCTGTCGCCAACACCACATCACGCCCTGAGTTAACGAGCTGCATGACCCGGTGTTTAAGGTGTAGAAGCTGTCGCCAACACAACGGCCACACACCTGAGTTAACAGGCTGCATGACCCAGTGTTTTAGGTGTAGAAGCTGTCGCCAACACAGCAACACAACCCTGAGTTAACGAGGCTGCATGACCCAGTGTTTAAGATTAGCCAGAAGCTGTCGCCAACACAACAACCCACGCCCTGAGTTAACGGGCTGCATGACCCAGTGTTTAAGGGTGTGAAGCTGTCGCCAACACAACAGCCACGCCCTGAGGTTTAACGAGTTGCCATGACCCAGTGTTTAAGGTGCTTGAGAAGCTGTCGCCAACCACAGCAACACGCCCTGAGTTAACGAGCTGCATGACCCAGTGTTTAAGGTGTAGAAGCTGTCCTTAACACAACAGCCACACACCTGAGTTAACAGGCTGCATGACCCAGTGTTTAAGGTGTAGAAAGCTGTCGCCAACACCACATCCACGCCCTGAGTTAGGCTGCATGACCCGGTGTTGTTTAAGGTGTAGAGTCTGTCGCCAACACAACAGCCACACCCTGGTTAACGAGCTGCATGACCCAGTGTTTTGGGTGTAGAAGCTGTCGCCAACACAACAGCCACGCCCTGAGTTAACAGGCTGCATGACCCAGTGTGTTTTGGAGTGTAGAAGCTGTCGCCAACACAACAACCACACCCTGAGTTAACAGCTACATGACCCGTGTTTTAAGGTGTAGAAGCTGTCGCCAACACAACAACCACGCCCTGAGTTAACGAGCTGCATGACCCAGTGTTTAAGGTGTAGAAGCTGTCGCCAACACCAACAACCACACCCTGAACAGCAGGCTGCATGACCCAGTGTTTAAGGTCTTGAGAAACTGTCGCCAACACAGCAACCACACCCTGAGTTAACGAGCTGCATGACCCAGTGTTTTAGGGTAGAAGCTGTCATGGCAGCACCATCCCACGCCCTGGGTTAACGAGCTGCGCCATTTGGTGTTTAAGGGTGTAGAAGCTGTCCTTAACACAACAGCCACACCCTGAGTTAACAGGCTGCATGACCCAGTGTTTAAAGGTGGCAAGAAGCTGTCGCCAACACAGCAACCACGCCCTGAGTTAACGAGCTGCATGACCCAGTGTTTAGGGGTGTAGAAGCATCGCCAACACAACAACCACGCCCTGAGTTAACAGCTGCATGACCCAGTGTTTAAGGGTGTAGAAGCTGTCGCCAACACAACAACCTCACCCTGAGTTAACAGGTTGCATGACCCAGTGTTTAAGGTGTAGAAGCTGTCGCCAACACAACAACCACACCCTGAGTTCACGAGCTGCATGACCCAGTGTTTAGGTGCTTAGAAGCTGTCGCCAACACAACCACACCACGAGTTCACGAGCTGCATGACCCAGTCAAGGAATAGTCAGAAGACCGGACAACTCGTCAACTGCACTGGTACAACCATTCCCCGGAACACGATCCACAAATCGATTAACATCCAGGTCCCCAATTACTGCTGGGTAGACAGAGGCAAATGGCGTAAAAACTTATAGTTTCACCCTGCCGGGATCGAACCAGGTCCACTCTCTTGCAGGCGAACATGCTGACCATTACACCTCATACATAAATACTCACACACACACATTACATATACACAAATATTGCACACACACACACACACACACACACACACACACCCTACACACGCACGCACGCACACACACACGTACGTTATATATTACACACACACATGCAGACACATTTTACACACACACACACACGTTATATATTACACACACATGCAGACACACTTTACACACCAGAAGCTAAGAGTTGCACTATAATAAAGTTCTCAGAATATAAGGGACTGGAAAAAATTAATTTTATCTGACGAGAAATAGCAAGGCAATAAATCCCGGGGCGTAGGTTCAGAGTGACCATCATTAGAGGAGTGACTGTGAACCTCCGCTCCCGGGTGAGGCTGCTGGGGCGTTACCTGGGCTGATCTGTCCATGTATGAATGCTGCCGAGAGTAGGACACTCAGTCAGGGACACAAACACATCACATCTCAGTAATAATCAGGAAAACATCAACAGAGAGAGAGGCCAAACGGAACAGACGACTGACCTATATTTGGACACACAGTTAAACTTGTTGACATACAGTGACACATGTTCAGAGGTGTTGGCCACACCTGTATCATGAAGGGAGGGGCTGCCAGCACTTACCTGTGTGACCTTGTCCCTGGAGGCGTGCTGGAGGGACACGGGGATCTGGGGGAGTTGGCGCTTCTTGGGGGAGCCGGTGGGCGTGGCCGTGGCACTGCGGGACGGCATCCTACCGGAGCCACCATACCCAGGCCTGTAGGGGGAGCCGCTCGTTATCACACAGGCGTCATACATACAACACAACAATTAAGTCAATTGAAAGCGTCAAGAAAAAATTGTAGCAGAAAAGATCACAGTTTAAGCGAGAGGAGTGCAGAGGGGTGCGCAGGTGAGTGAGAGGAGGAGCAGACTGTTGAGGGTGGCGGGTGGTGTTACCTGGCTTCGGGAGGGGAGAGGGACCGGCTAGCGGGCTCGGGGGCGCGGCGAGGAGACTTGCTGCGGGAGCGAGACACATGGAGAGACGGCGAGTCTGTGGGCGCCGCCGATTGGCTGCGGGCGCGGGTGGTGTGTGCGGGGAGGCTGAGGTCCTTGGCGCGGTACCTCATGTCCTCGCGGCCCACGATGGTGGCGGTGCGGCGGCGGCCGGGGGGCGACGCCGCGTCCCGCCGCGACCGATGGTCCAGCCCCATCACCATCTGGCGTTCCTCGGGCGGCGGACTGGAACCACACACTACGTTACTACTCTACCCTACCTTACCTACCTACGCCCACCACACGGAGAGCTCAGGGCTAGATAAGTGCATAACTTGGGCTCTACGCGGGAGATGTGATCTATAAGAGACTAGCCCGACTAACACAGATAAACTCAGAGGTTGGTAACGTCCTCTCCCGTCCTGGCAGACACCAGCACCCACCTGGAAGACGACCCAACGCTGCTGATGGAGGCGCCGTCCGTCCGTCTCTCCCGATGTGACCCGTCCTCTAGGTCGATGTCGCTCATGTCAGACTCGCTGAGGCGGGAGGTGGTGGAAGGCGGGGAGAGGTGGTCGGTGGAGGCGATGGTGGAAGCCGACTCCGTATCCACATACATGCCTCGCCGCTGTGGAGGAACAGAGAACAGTGTGTTACCTGACCTGGCTAATGCATCACCTAACCCGGCCTGGCCTGACCTGACGGGGGTTCAAGTGACCTGCCTGCGGTAAATATCATATCTCACTGACTGACTGACACACAGTATTCTGGGAGACGTATTGGAGGTGTCGTCACCCTCAGTGTTGACTACAGCTGTTGGCTCCTCTAGTTGTGTTTATCTGCACAACAAAATGATCCCGTCTGTCTGTCTGTCTGTCTGTCTGTCTGTGTTCTCTGTCTGTCATATCAGCGTTACAAGGTCACCTGTAATTATTTCACCAATTTTGAATCATGTAAATTGGAGTAGAGGAGAAGAAGGTGGGGAGAAGGTGGGGAAGGGAAGAGACGACACGAATAAGAGGAGAAGGAAGAGGATTGATTTTGCCGCTTACAGCGGCTAGTTTATTGTGCACCCCACAGTCATCCTGTGAGCGGTAGCGCAAAAGGATTACAGAGTAGAGTTTACAACAGGTCATAATAATTAACCCCAGTGGTCAGGATATTATGGCACAGTATTTCAATTACATAATTTGTTTAGTTCTATACATAAAGGGCAACTTATTCACAGCTGCGTGAGTACAGGCGTGTGAGGCAGTATGTCTGGCCTCACACTTTGTTATTCACATTTGAGTGAGAGGTATTCAAGCACATTGTGTATTTGGTTCTGTACATGAGAACTGATATAGTTACTAAGTGCAAAAAAGTGGACACAATCTTAATATGTCGGCTATCTTGCCATTAGAGATGAAGTGTTGTGCCATTTCACACACAGTGTGCTTGGACCTGTCCCTAAAAGGTTTAATCTTCACACAGTCGAGGACGTAGTGTTCAAGTGTGTGGCCATATGTCTGGCCACACACTTTACATTTAGTCTTGTTCACATCTGCTTGAGGAACATATTGCCAGAGGTACTTATATCCTAACCTTAATCTAGCGGTTACAACATCTTGTAATCTAGTGATCTTGTTACTTGCTCCATATACATGTTTCACTTGATACATCTCATCATGGTAACCTATGGATCGACTAGTGCCTGTTTGCACTTGTCTACTTGCGTCAAACTCATCAATAAGAGGAAGGAGGAGGTGGTCTCCGATGACGTCATGAGTTATGATAAACAGTGGAACGAGTTGCTGGTGGTGGAGGAAGGGGGTAGTGGTGGTGGAGGAAGGGGTAGTGTTGGTGGAGGAAGGGGGTAGTGGTGGTGGAGGAAGGGGTAGTGTTGGTGGAGGAAGGGGCAGTGTTGGTGGTGGAGGAAGGGGTAGTGTTGTGGAGGAAAGGGGTAGGTGTTGGGTGAGGGGGGGCAGTGTTGGGTGGTAGAGGAAGGGGGTAGTGTTGGTGGTGGAGTGAAGGGGTAGTGGTGGTAGAGGAAGGGGCAGGGAATTAGTGGTGGTGGAGGAAGGGAATAGTGTTGGTGGAGGAAGAAGGTAGTGTTGGTGGTGGAGGAAGGGGGCAGTGTTGGTGGTGGGAGGAAGGGGGCAGGTTATGGTGGAGTTGGTGGTGGAGGAAGAGGGTAGTGGTGGTAGGAGGAAGGGGGTGGTGGAGGAAGGGGGGTAGTGTGGTAGAGGAAGGGGTAGTAGTGGTGGTGGTGGAGAAGGGTAGTTGGTGATAAAGGGTTGGTGGAGGAAGGCAGCACACACACACAGGTGGTAGGTGGAGGAGGGGTAGTGGTGGTAGAGAGGAAGGGGTAGTGGTGGAGGAAGGGGTAGTGTTGGTGGTGGGAGGGAAGAGGTAGTTAGTGTTGGTGGTGGAGGAAGGGGTAGTGTTGGTGAGTGGAGGAAGGGGTAGTGGTGGTAGGAGGAAGAATAGTGGTGGTGGAGGAAGGGGTAGTGTTGGTGGTGGGAGGAAGGGGGGTAGTGTTGGTGGTGGAGGAAGGGGTAGTGGGCACAGGGTGGAGGAAGGGGTGGTGGAGGTGGAGTGTTGGTGGTGGAGAGGAAGGGGTAGTGTTGGTGGTGGAGGAAGGGGTAGTGTTGGTGGAGGAAGGGAGTAGTGTTGGTGGAGGAAGGGGGTGTTGGTGGTGGAGTGTGGTGGTGGGGAAGGGGGTGGGTGGTGGGAGGAGAGGAAGGGGTGTAGTGGTGGTGGAGGAAGGGGGTGAGTGTTGGTGGTGGAAGGGGTAGTGGTGGTAGTGGGTGGTGGAGAGGAAGGTGGTGGGAGGAGGGGTAGTGTTGGTGGAGGAAGGGGTAGTGTGGTGGTGGTGGAGGAGGGGGGTAGTGGTGGTAGAGGAAGGTAGTGGTGGTGGAGGAAGGGGTAGTGTTGGTTGTGGAGGGAGGAAGGGTAGTGTTGGTGGTGGAGGAAGGGGTTGGTAGTGTTGGTGGTGGAGGAGGAAGGGTAGTGTTGGTGATGAGTAGTGTTGGTGGTGGAGGAAGGGGGGTAGTGTTGGTGCGTGGAGGAAGGTAAGGGAGGAAGGGTGTTGGTGGTGGAGGAAGGGGGGTGGTGGTGGTGGAGGAAGAGGGGTAGTGGTGGTGGTGGAGGGAAGGGGGTAGTGGTGGTAGAGGAAGGGGGGTAGGTAGTGGTGGTGGGAGGGAAGGTAGTGGTGGTGGAGGAAGGGGCAGGTAGTGGTGGAGGAAAGTAGTGGTGGGAGGAAGGGGGAGTGTGGTGGTGGGGGTGGTGGGGAAGAGGGTAGTGGTGGTGGAGGAAGGGTGAAGTGAGTGGTAGGGAGGAAGGGGTGGTGGTGGAGGAAGGGGTAGGGTGGTGGGGGTGGTGGTGTGGTGTGGTGGAAGAAGAGGGTGGTGGTGGGGGGAAGGTAGTGGTGTGGTGGTAGGGGAGGGTGGTGTGTGTCAGGAGATTGTGTAATGGTGGATGGTGTGTAGAATAGTGGTAGAGTTGGGAATAGTGGTATGATGATGGTGGTAGTGGAGGTGCAGGTTGAGGTGCTGGTGTAAGTGATGGTGGTAGTTGTGATGGTGGTAGTTGGGGGGAAGCTGGGGGCCAAGTGGCGCCGTGCCGAGCGCCTCACCACCAACCACTATCTCCATCACTACAATCACCACCACCACCACCTACCCTACCACAATCACTACCCCTACCACTATCACCACCACTACCATCACCACCACCATTATCTCACCACAACAACCACCCACCTATACCACCATCACCCTCACTACCACCATTACCACCACTACTATCACCAGCACTACCATCACCACCACCATTACCTCACCACAACAACCACCACATATACCACCATCACCCTCACTGCCACCACCATCACTACCACCATTACCACACCACAACAACCACCACCAATACCACCATCACCCTCACTACCACCACAACCACTATCACCACCTCCACCACAACAACCACCACATCTACTACCATCACCACTACCACCACCACCCTGGACCCCTGCCAGTTGAATCGTCTCTTCCGCCAGACTAACTTCACCGCTGATCTCAAAGCAGTATTTACTTGACACAGATAAGACCCGGCTGGTGCAATAGTGTGTCTCTACCATGACAAATAACACCACTCGCTACCACCACTACCACAACCATCACCACTTCACCATCACCACCACAACCACCACCACACGCTCCACTAATACTTTATGACGGCCAGGCTGGAGGCTCAGTTTTACATTTCTCTGACTCGGTGAAGTGAGAGGCAGTCACATGGTCTGTGTTGTTAACCCCGACGTCTTGTGTTCCAGGATAAAAGAACTTAAGTACATAAGAACATTAGAACATAAGAACATTAGAACATAAGAACATTAGAACATAAGAACATTAGGACATAAGAACATAAGAGTGGATGAAACTGCAGCGGCCCCATATTAGGCAGCCCTGTTTACACCCAACCCCTATCGCTCATATATCCGTCCAACCTGTTTGAAGCTATCCAGCGTGTTCGAGTTAATGATGATGTTTGGCAACTTGTTTCACTCATCCACTACTCTATTTCCAAGCCATTGCTACGAGTTCGCTACTGGTTGGATAGTTTGAGTACATTTGTTTAGCCCTGACTGCCATTTATACACCTCTATCATATCGCCCCTCGCTCTACGTCTCTCGAGGGAGTGCAGATTAAGATGCTTTAAGCTGTCTCTGTACTCAAGGTTCCTATTGCCCGGGATTAATCTTGTTATCATTCTCTGTATGCATTCTAGGGATTCTATATCCATTCTGTAGTACGGTGACCAGAACTGAACCGCGTAATCCAAGTGAGGTCTCACAAGCGCAAGATACAGTTTTAGGATGACCTCGCTAGTCTTGTAACTAACACCCCTTTATATGAACCCAGGCATCTTGTTAGCCTTGTTTCGAGCAAATACACATTGTTGTCTTGGTTTAAGATTCCTACTTATCATTACTCCTAAATATTTTTCACAGTCGGATTTCTCAATAACAACGTTGTTCATCTGATATCTGGTTTCTCTGTTTACATCTCCTAGACTAAGTACTTAACATCTGTCTACATTAAATTTCATCTGCCATTTTTCAGACCATGAACAAGGTCACCTGAACATTAGACACCCCAGTTTACTTCACCTGAACTTTAATTACCCTAACCTGCCCTGACCTGACCTGACCTAACCCGTCTTAACCTACCTTAAATCTATAAACTAAACATATCCTAACCTAATCCAACGTAACCTAACGTCAATCTAACCTACCTAACCTAGGGTAATTAATCCCCAGACAAAAAAAGTTGCGGTGTCTAATCTTCACGTAATCTCAGAGTAGAAAAGGTAGGTGTATGTATGTATGTATGTGTGTGTGTGTGTGTATGTATGTGTGTGTGTGTGTGTGAGGGTCTTCTGAGTGACCATGTAGGTATCTGGCAGCCAGCGGGGGGAAGCCCTCAAGACGATATAACTGTAGACTTCCGGAAACCCTAAACTGACTGGTGGTGGTGGTGGTAGCAGTGGTTGTGGTCGAGGGGGTGGTGGTTGTGGTCGTAGGTGTAGTGGTTGTTGATGCTGGTAATATAGGTGAGGTGAGGTTAGGTTAGGTCAGGTTAGGT